GGTTCTAGAACTTGCTGCTTGGCGTTCGTCTCTGTGGGCAGAACGGACTTGGTGTCTTCAGCCGCCCGTACCCTGACGTGCTCGAGAAACCGTGTCGTCATCACCTGCGCCACACCTGCTCTGCCTTCCCGCCACCCGGCTGGGAACAGCGGTGTTTTGAATAGGTGAGGTAGTCAGGCTCTGTAACTCGGACTTCCGAGGGTCTGTGGGCTCCCACCTGCAGAGGCGGGCTTCCCAGTTACCTTAAAACGTGCGCTGCTGTGAGGCCGGTACTCGCTGTTTGTCACTCTTCCACTGGACATTTATAGAGGTCAGCAAACTGAAGTGGATTCAAAACTGTTGCTTTAGGATTAGCATAAGGGTGCCGCGGAGGCAGCTGAATGCCATTTCAGCCTGCAATTGGAAGTCCCTGTGATGGAGCTGGAAAAAACAGTCGGTGATGCAGTTTGGTGTTAAAAAGCACCTGCAAACTTTCCAGGAAACGTTCATAGTGATTTCAGAAGTCCCATCGCATAAGCGGCATCGTTAATGTAAGTACAGAACAGGAGTCAAGACTAGCAATATTGGGAGCTCCCATACTTGGGGTTTACCTGCAAGGATGAATTTAAGACTGTTGAGGATTAAACAACAGCAGACCCTGATGGGTACTTGGTACACTGAGTAGTTTTAAGGTACATCAGTTTCCTGGGCATATGGCCAGCGCTTTTCCCTCAAGTGCGTTTTAGAAGCCCAGAGTCTCCAGAAAACTTTTACCATGGACATAAAGAGAATCATTCTCACTTTAAGTGAGCAAACTGCAATTCTAAATTGATTTTGGGGTAAGAAGAGAAGGCTGCGAGAAGACCTTATTGCAACCTTCCAGTACTTAAAGGGGGCCTACAGGAAAGATGAGGAGAATCTTTTTAGCAAGGCCTGTTGTGACAGGACAAGGAATAATGGATTTAAACTAAAGAAGAAGAGATTTAGACTAGACATTAGAAAGAAATTTTTTACCATGAGGGTGGTGAAGCACTGGAACAGGTTGCCCAGAGAGGTGGTAGAGGCCCCATCCCTGGCAACATTGAAGGTCAGGTTGGACGGGGCTCTGAGCAACCTGATCTGGTTAAAGCTGTCCCTGCTCACTGCAGGGGGGTTGGTCTAGATGACCTCTAAAGGTCCCTTCCAACCCAAAGCATTCTATGATTCTATGATCTTCAAGACCAAACACATTTATCAAGATCTGCAATTTAACTTACTTCTGGCTCCTGTATTTTCTAGTAAAATAGACTAAATAATTAGATTTTTTTTTCCACTTCAACACTCTGGGGTCATTTATTAACAGCAGGTAACATGCTATAATCTAGCATATGGCTTTGTAGCACATGTACATGGCAAGGCAACACAGGAAGCATTAGGAAAAACTATGGTATGCATTTTTCCTTAGAGTCAGAAAGATCTGCACAGGAGAGAGGAGATGAGATGCAGTAACTTCACATCATACCACACCAAATTAACACAAAAACATCATTAAGCCTTTTTTTCACTAAATTCAGTAGTTTTTAATCACAGTAGTATTTATGGGCACACTAGCATCACTAAATTGTAAGTTTTTCACAGGCAAAGCAAACCTTACTGCACAGTGAGATGTTTCCCATCTTGATTTGCTGTTTGTACAGTGGGCAAGCACACAAACACCTGAAAGATTTTGAAGTATATCTAAAAGAAGTAGGAGACTGACCTTGTTATTGCTTTCAGCCAGAATACATTTGAACTCGATATTCCTCATGTAAGGTATTTATTCATACAGCTGCTACACGTTGCAGCCCTCCACCCTGTGCCTGTCAGTGGGCATTTTATCTCCTTACCAGAACTGAAAGTTCTCTCATCACTGTATCTAGACCCAGCCTTTGTTGCTGGTTTCCCATATGTTTCTTCTGTGCTGCTGTAGCCACAGACTTAGCTTGTGGTTAGCTCAGTATATTTCATTCACATAATACAAGAAAAATGTGGAAGAGGAAGAATAAGGTATTTCTGCTAGGGGTCACTAAGACAAAGCTGGTTATCTGCTAAACTCTGTACAGAATGGACTGACTCATAGGATCCAATCAAAGTCTAGCTTAATTTTTAAAAGAATTTTCATGGGAGGAAAGAAAAAGCATTTGGGAATAACTTTCTCTCCCAGTACACACTCATCCTTTTAGCACAAGTATTAGAAAGCAGACAGCTGCACCTTGAAACAGCCCACCCCAATTTAGATGTAGACCATCCCATCCCACAGGAGCCAGACACCATCAGGAAAGGCATCTGTAAGTATGTGCTAAAGGACTACATTAACAAGATGTACTTGCTCATGTACTTTATATATCAATGTAATAAGGCATCAGAAAGTTCCAGAGCAGCTGAGGTCTGGTGTGGAGCTAGACACGTTCCTGCTTTTCTGCAAGGTGTTGGTGGGGGCTTGGACACTCAGAGCTGTGTTCTGGTCACAGGGTCTTCATCAGTCTTCAGGTATTTTCCATTTACGGACTCCTTGAGCGCCCAGTCATGGAGGAGGCTGTAGTCGTAGTGCTCCTCATCCACTCGTTTGAGAAAGGCCAGTCCAGAAATGGCTTGCCACTCTCTGAGAGACGGGATACGGATTTCCTTTACATTTTCACTCCCAGGGGCAAAGCCAAAGAACTTCCTTACATGCTGCATGGCATAGAGCCTGGAGTGCTGGTCTGTTGCTTCATCGAAGAGCTCCTGCTCATTGTGGACATAGTTGCTCCAGTATCTGAAATGTAGAAAGCTGAGTGGGGAGAAACAGCTTGCCAGGCAGTAAGACAGGAAGACAGTGATGACTACCACAGCAATCAGAAGCCAGCCAGCCACCTTACAAAGAAAAAAAGAAAAAAAGCTGTTACAGCTGAAAATACTCATAGTGGTAATTTCTGAGCATCAGAAAATCCATTAAGATGATCTTTACTTGCTTTTCCTGAATAAGAAGGTTCACAAGGTATAAGCCTGGTAATGGTCTGTTACCATCAAACTCAGTCAGTACCTACTGGAGATAGTCATGTAGTAAAGTCACTTCTTCCTGACAAGTTTAAGGAAGTTCTGGTGTATATTTGTTAAGGATTTTGCCTCCACAGCTATTACCATGAGAAGAGAAGCCACCTAATTCCTAGCCTACATTAGCTTATAGCTTGTTTGAAACCAATTTTCTCTGAAGTGACAACTTCATGTTCCCCCTATTATTTCCTTTGTATGTAAGTTTTTAGAATTGAGTCTCATCTAAAAGCCAAGATTTTAATTTGGTTCACGTGGAGCTCTCGCAGCCTGGGCCCCTTTAGTCACATTTCTTATGCTTGAATAAAGGAACTTCATACCCTCCCTGGCTCCTGAACTTCCATTTGTCTTACCTGATAGTACTTTTCAAGATACTACTCAAGGAAGAATATATCCTCCAGTAGCAGGTAACAAATGGGACAACCAGACATAATAATTTATATACCTAAAGTTCAGTTCAACTTACAGGAGCAAAGCAGGCTTCAAAACATGCAGAAATTTGGCACTCAAGGCAGAGGATACCGATCCTGTTTCATCCTAACACTTTGCCTGCCAGATTAACTCTAGTTCTCATCATTAGGTCCGCAGGCAACAGAAGCAACCCAAGTTACTCACTTGTGACTGGTATCGGAGTAGGAGAATCACTTCATCTTTTGCTTGGGTCAGCTCCAGAGGAACTAACTGACTGCATGGAAATGTAGCCAATATCCTTCTGCGTTCACTAGCAGTAACATTCAGATCAGCTCCATAGTAATGCACGGAGACATACTCACTCATGGCACAGACATAATATGAGCCATTTATCAGGGTGACCGCTAGCCACGTTACTGGAGCAACCAGTGCTCTCCCAGTGATGCTGCACAAGACAAAGCAGATCAGCTTGCATTGCAGTAACCGGTTTGGTGTAGTCTCTTCCTCAAGAGGAGACTTTTTGCCTGTAACCAGCCTCCAAGTCTGGTTATTCAGGGCATAGCCAACAACCAGAAGGATCAGTGCAGGAACTCCTAGGAAAGCCAGCCCATAGATAAGGTTCTGTCCAACATGACAGGGACAGCTGAATGTAAAAAAAGAGAAAAGTTGCTGCCCACCAATTGTTAATATTGCAATTATAGCATTAGCAATAACAACCTCTTTGCCTTTTAGAAAAGTTAACCACTTTGGAAGGAAAGTCATTTTAGATCTTACTCTTTACCAGATGCTTTTGATTTAAGTCAATACTAGCTTTTAGTTATTTATAACTAATGTTAATGTCAGGCTGGAACAGAACAAACTCCAACAGCTTAAAAAAAAAACCTAAAAACCTTGCTAATCTTTCTCCTCCCACTAATTTCTTGATTCTACTCCATGACAGCTAGAAGCTTGTTTGCTAGCTTTAAATACACTTCCAGACATCCAATCATGTGTTTTAATTGATTCAATAATTTATCTCAGCAGTTGTGGAACATTTAGCTTTTAGGCAATTGTGGGCTCTTCCAGCCCCTTGCTAATTGTCTGAAACTATCAATAAATTCTCCCTGCCTTTTGGATGACATGCAATGCTATCAAACCCATAACTACCCTGTCAGGGTTAATTGGCAAAGTGTTTGCTATCAATGGTAATTAGCAGAAGGATGGCATGGAACTAGGAGAAAAAGAAAAAGAAAGAAGGGGATCTTTCAGCTATTCTTCATAAAAAAAACAACCAAACAAAGCCTTGTCAAGTGGACTGATTATAAAAACTGAAGCATTTAAAATGCTTCAACTTTAAATAGAACCAGAAAAGATTCCGTAAGTTGCACAAAGTTTGGAATCCCAAAGCCGTTCATCTTTAATGTCAGTTCTGGTTCTGGGGTGATTCGCTCTCCAAACACTGGAGTCCGAGATGCAGTTAGCTGCTGGACTGTGAGGATTTTAGTGTTTCACCTGTAGGTGGCAAGAAGCTAGCATGTCTCTTTTCCTGACAGTGTTGAACTTTTCCTTTGTGTCATGGTTTAGCCCCAGCCAGCAACTAAGCTCCACGCAGCCGCTCTCTCACTCCCTCTACCCCGATGGGATGGGGGAGAGAATCGGAGGAGGAAGAGTGAGAAGCACTCCTGGGTTGAGATAAGAACAGTTTAATAATTGAAATAAAGTAAAATAGTAATTATAATAATAACAATACAATAATGATAATAATCATAATAATATACAAAGCAAGTGATGCACAATGCAATTGCTCACCACCCGCCGACCGATACCCAGACAGTTCCCGAGCAGCGATCGCTCCCCCCGGCCAACCCCCTCCAGTTTATATACTGAGCATGATGTCATATGGTATGGAATAGCCCTTTGGTCAGTTTGGATCAACTATTCTGGCTGTGCCCCCTCCCAGTTTCTTGTGCACCTGGCAGAGCATGGGAAGCTGAAAAGTCCTTGACTAGCATAAGCAGTACTTAGCAACAACTAAACCATCAGTGTGTTATCAACATTCTTCTCCTACTAAATCCAAAACACAGCACTATGCCTGCTCCTAGGAAGAAAATTAACTCTATTCCAGCTGAAACCAGGACACTTTGGAAAGTTTTTTTGGTAATGTGTAATCTGCTATTCACTTCACACAGTGTCAAGCTACCTTCAGAGATGCTTATGATAATAGCTCCATTTATGTAGCATGCTTGTGACTACAAGTTTTAAGATTTTCTGTATCATCAGTCCTGTTCTGTGGACAGAGGTAGATTGAAATTTTTCAGTTAAACATTTTCAGAGCTGATTTCTGAATATTGGGATGTATGATCTGGGCTCTCGGCATCTCTGACAAATCAAGCCTTAAACAGAGGTTAATTTAAAATGTTTCACTCCCAATGATTTTCTCTGGGTCGCACTTTGTCTATGGTCATGCTATCCAGTAATTCTGTACATTGCATACTGCAGGCTGATCTGAACATGCAAATACTCGTGTTTAAGTTCTGAGAAGTCTAACTGCCTGTAATATAAACATTTTAACCAAGAACAGAAAAAAAAATTAGCCAGAAAGGCTATAAGGAGAATTGTCTTCCCATTACAGACAGCTGTCTCCAGCATGTGTGGACTTGGTCATGTGATGTAATAGTGTCTGACCGCATAGCCTCTTCTCTTTCCTTGCAGAGAGGGTTGCTAATAATAGCTTTCAGCTCAAAAAGTAGTTTTAACACCTATGGTATCTACTTGGATGGCAGAGTCACTCTCACAGCTGTTATACACATGGATGGCATGTTATACATGCCTTGCCTGTTTACTAGGCCAGACCTTGTTCCTCCAGTGCACTGTTAGGGTGGATGCCTGCTTGTCTCATCCCCAGTCACAATCTGTGAATGAGGCCCTTGCTGGTAACTGGTTCTCAAAACTATGTGACACCATTACACAAAATAAAAGCGATAGGGAAACATGCTGAAACATCCAGCAGCACTTTGCGACAGCTTTTCTGGAACCTGCTGTTAAATTCTTGGTTTTTTGGGCAGAGTAGTAGCACAACAAAATCCTAGTGCTGTCTGAACACTGCCATTTTGAAACTTCATTTTCTTTCAGTATCACAGGATTTTCAATAACTTTTTTTTTGTACTAGTGGCATTATATTTTGAAAAAAATTACCTCCTTTAAATTCAGTTCAATAAGCCCATCAGGCTATTAGAGAATTATTTTGAAGATGTGTTTTATAGGAGTCTTCCATTATGCCTCAGTTAATTTTAAAATCTCCGATTGATTGCTGCTGAGCTTTCTTTGGGAACTCATGTCTTATTTTGTATTAAGGGAGGAAGGCTTTCCTAAGCATCACTTGTTTACTCAAGAAACACATAAGATGTGAAAGTGAAGAGAGGTACAACACTGAAATATTCATGGTCAGCCTAAGACTGTTGAATGAGGCAATTTATACAATCAATACAACAACTTTGTACTGCTGCATTGTCACTTCTTTGGCGTTTGCTTTCATGCTATCCTGTAAATAATCCTGCTGGGTCATCCTATTACGGAACAAATTACAGGGCTGGATCCATTTAAGAGCTTGGGCAGCACATCAAACCTTTAAGTACTCACCTCTGCAGAAGAACCTGCAGTCCTGAGGTGAACATTTAGGCTCTTTATCTGATGCCCAGGAAGAGTTAGGACTGAATGCAATCCAAAATACCACTACCTGAGGTGACAGCCAGCTTGCCTCTGAGGCAAAGAGATGCTTATGCCTGATGTCTGAGGCAAATAGGATACACGGGCAAACCTTACCCATGGTTTTGCTTGTCATTTTGCAGGGCTCTGTCAGCTCGAATTCACTGCCAGGAACCTCAATTATGAGAATAAATTACTTTTTTTTAAGAACTGAGAATGGTTTGTCATTTTCTCTTAAAACATGGTTATTGGGAGACATATTACACCTTCCTATCCTCCCATACACAAGCAAACAGTTTTTGTTCTCCGGTTTGCTTTTTATTGAAATAAAGCAGCTGTGGCAGAAGGGAGAGATTGGTTTCAGTTCCCTTCTCCAGCTTGTATAGTCAAAACTCACTCACTCATCTCTTTCTTCCAAGAGCTTGGTTGTTGTTAGTGATGTGGTGTGACTGTGGTGGGAAGAAGTTGTATTCTTCAGGTTTCCTGCCATAGTTCTACCAGTTGCACTTAGTTACCCCACAGAGAGGATTCTGATATTTACTGGATCAGAAAAAGATTAGGATTTTGTTATTTAATGGCCAGGAAAAGGTAGGGAAAAAGAGGGGAGTGTTCTTGTATTTTCCATCTGAAGGTTGCTTCCTGTAAAGTTTGGAGCAGGAGACTGAACCCTGGTCTCTCTGGTCCTGCACAAGAGTTTTCGTCACTGAGTTAGCAGTCAAAAGGAGGATGTTCTCTGCCTCCTCTAGCTGCGTTTTGAGTTATATTTTACATGGATGTCAAGCCTGCCTATGTTAGAAAAGCATGCTATGAAAGTACCTGCATGACAGATTTCCTGTGGGAGCACAGGGAGCACTGCCCATGTCCTGTGTTCTGCCTGGCTGCAGGTTGGCTTCAGGCTGCCAAGTCATTTTCATGGTCTCTTTGGCCTGGTTAAGGGAGAAGTTCCTCTCCCCTTAACCAGGACAACCACTGATGAGAAAATAAGCTTTATGTTTAGGGAAGAATAGAAACCTGTTAATGATTTTTTTAACTTAACATCTTTTGCTTCATAATTCAGCTGTGCTTTATAGGCACATTTATATGAGGTTTTAGGTGCCTGCAGTGAGTTTCAGCAGAAAGTAGGCACCCAAATCTGAAAACACCCTCTTGAAAACAGTTCCTGAGATGCCTAACCTAACCAAGGAAGTTTCAGCTGGTCATGCTGAAAATGCTTCCCAGGCAGGGCACTACAGGCAAGGTGGCAGCAACAGCACTGCCTTATTCTGAAATGCGGCCAAAGCAGCAGCCACGGTGGGCTTTGAGTAAAAGCACTCATTTGTGATGTGGGAAACCTGTGTTCAAGTACTTTTTTTTCATGTAACTTCAAGCCCCCATCACCTACCTTCTGGTGACTTGAAATAATTCAATTTTCTGTGAGTGAAAATTGAGTGAAATATTTAACACAGGCTCTATTGAGCTGGAGACAGAGAGCAAACAAAAGCCTGATCCTGTATTGTACTAATTTGGAAACCCATCTTTTGTGGCAAAAGTATTCTTGTTTTGGCTCAAAGAACTTTTTTAGGTATTTTTTTAGGCATTTGACACCTAATTCATTATTGACATTTGTGTTGCACTCTGCTCTGGGATATTCATGTTTGGGAGAATCCTTAGATACTGGACTACTAAAGAGATCGTGCTTAAGGTTTCAGCTGCTTTAAGCTACAGGTTTCAGCTTTCCCATAATAGCCAGTCCACTATAAGAAACAGGATGCTGGCACACACTTTTATGCATGCTTTTGAACTTCAGGAGATGTTTTGTGTATTTTTTTTTTTTTCACTTTACTGGGAATGAAGAGAACTGGTGTAGTCTAATGCTCAAGCCATGTACCAGACCAACCTTCTTGGGGTTGAAGGCTAAAACCCTGTCCTGACAAACATGACAGAAAGGGAGGTGGAGGGCAATGCTAACTTCCTCACTATTCAAATTGCCCTGGATTATTTCTGAGAAGTCTATGTTAAGGTTTAAAACAGGTGCTAGATATGTGCCAACCTCTGCTCCTTTCCCAGGGCTGCAAGTCAGCTGACGGTGAAAATTAAGAAGGTGGTTTTGTTCTGTTCCTGAAGATGTGGACGCAGTCCACCATTGACTTGTTTCCCTCACTGGAGCCATTGAATCCTCAGTTTATTTGGAGACACTGTTTCAGCTTCATTTTCGCAATCGTGTGCAGACCTTTCAAAATGTAGTATGTTCTACCTAATACATCATATTACCTGTGTAAATTTACACGTATACACGTGTATGTATGTATTTTCCAAACAGTGCTGATGTGTTCTCACCACGCATTGCACTGTCCGGTCCACACTGTTGCTTCATGACTGTAGTATTAATAATGCAGGCTGAAGTAATTCATCCTCATATTCAGAACTGGATAAATAAAATTGTGCTCATTTATGGGTAGCCTTAAGTGCTTTGTGATGGTTTCACTGCAGTTAAATTATGCTAATGATAATCTCTTTAGAGCTGTTTTTTAAAATGCAATGCAGTACACTTTCTTATGGAGTATGGGATGTCTCTTGCAATGAGACATACTTGGTGCTTGTCACCAGTTGGAAACAATCTGAGAAACAAACCCACCTCAGACTCAATTTAGAAATGCAAGTAACTATCTAGAGAATTGTAATGCCTGGCTTTTATAATTTATTTAAATTTAGATATGGGAAGTACCTACAATAGTTTCACTTATAAAATGGAGTCAGATTTTACAAGGCCAGAAAAGTGCCTAGAAAAAAATGGAAGAGGCTTATTGTATTGTAAAGTTCTCAACACCAGCTTATTCTGTGTAAAATGAAAGCTGTTAGAATGACTATGTTTTCCACAGAAAAAGCTGAAAAACCTTTTATGTGTCCCTTTTTTTGTTGTTGAATTGTGTCATAACTTTACCATTTTTTAAAGTAAATTATTCCTTCTTATCCCAAATGAATCACATCTGCTGCTTTCTGTGCATCTGGAGTAGTAAATACCTGTAATTTTAGTCTAGCACCAAACTGTTTAATTAATTTAAGTTTAGTAACAGCATGGCATTCAGATGAGGCCATGGATTTTTACTTCCTTTCCTGAGAGGACTCAGTGGGAATATATATGGAGATAAGTCCTATAAAGACAGCTACCTGATTCATTTCTAAATTCAGTGGTGACCATAGTCTAAATTTATTGCAAGTCTAAACTAACAGAATAGGCCAAATTTAACTCAGGGGAAAACAGAAAAAGTAAGCTGAACCTTCCTGGATGTTCATAGCAGGGATGTTTACAAATAGGGGTTATAATAGGTTAAGAATGATGTAAGATCCCCTAGAAACATTGTTAATGAAAGCACCATTTGCACAAGCTGGCAGCTGTAGCGGGTGCACAGTTTATTCCTCTGGGAGTTTGGGTGCTCTACATCTGTCCTGCCAGCTTTGCAGAAACATTGTGGTAGTAGTGCCTTGTAACCCATACTGCTCCTGCCTAGGCAGACATTAATTCACCAGACTAAAGCAATCAGAGCTGACAGCAGACTATAGCTCCTTTAAGTTGAAAATTATCAATTTTTAATTACCTTGTGCAGCAGTATCTTGTGTTTTTATTCTTCAGAGAGGGATCTTTTGTTAACTCTCCAAACACCAAAACCTGACACAAACAAGAGAATTAATTTGCTGTCCCTAAAAACGTAAGACTTGTGAATCTCTTGGGGCTGCCCAGTTTGACTTCCCATGGCTGTTTGCTGTGTATTTGATTACAAATCATTTTTATGGATGGAGCGATTATTTATGTTGTGTACAGGGGCAGATCTGTTGCCAATCAAATTCCTCCCAAAGGGTTCGGTACACGTAGAGAATAGGAGGAGCATCAGAAGCATAACAGATTGCGGCAAACACATCTCATGCAAAAGGCAGAAGAGCAGAAAGGAGAAATGAAAGAGGAAATACAGTGATTGAGAGAAAACTATGCTGCTTGAGGAAGAAAAGACATAAACTAACAAGTACATCAGGCATTACACAAGCAACATGTCTCGGCGACCAGGAAGAAAGCAGGAGAACCACAAAATAGTAAGACATTTTTGTAATGTGCGATTAAGATTGTGCATAGAGTAAGAATAAGCTATTATTGTATTGGTATGTTTTATACAGTCGTATTTCCGAATAGCCTGAAAGTACTGCAAGGATGGGGATGAGTCTGACAGTATGAGAGCAGAAGCGCTGGCAGCATTTATGGCTACAGTGGGACCCCGCTGTGAGCGGCCAACAAGCTGCCCGCTATTAAGTAGTGACATAAAAAAGCCTGCCCATAGGACTCGGAGGCTGTTTGACTCTAAGCAGTAATACTGAGATTTGCTCCAGGAGACTTCATATCTCTTCCTGCTACCTTGATTATGACATGAAATGATTTTCAGACAGTCCTGCCCTCAATATGAACCCTTGAGGCCAAAACTCTGTTCTTGTTTTGGAGAAAGGAAGCTCTGCCAGCCACATCTCTACCCCGTGAACAGTTACAGGAAGAGATGGTTCATCTGGGACCGCAGCATACCTGGTGCCCACTGTGTGCCTCCAACATAGCAGAGCATGTCTTCTTTTGGGGGTGGTGTTGCATGAGCAGGGGTCCTTCTGCATCCTCCTAATGTTGTGATTTTTCAGTGCACAGGGAGTGCACCATCACAGGATCTCAACATCCGGCTTTAAGGCCAAAACCTGATTCTTGGGGAAACAATGGTAGAACTGTAACCATTGTCTTTGAATGTTGGCTTTGACCATTGATCACATAGCACAGAATTCCATCAAGTAGAAGTTAAATAGACCAAAACTTCTTTCTTTTTCTGCACTTTATGTTAATATTCTCCCAAAGCTCCAGAAGCTGTCTTAAATATACTGCATGCAAGATTTTCCCAAGAGGCCTTCTTAAACTGCATGGTCACAAAAAGCATTATTTTGTGCCATTAAAGATACCAGTTATTCTCCTTCTGGTTTTCTGGCAGTGGTGTGTCTAAATACACAAAATTCAGATAGAAAGTTTCCTCAGAATCTCTATGTGTGGTTGAAAATCTCTGTTTAGGAATATTTTACCACAAGTCCAAAAAACCAAAGTGCCATAATGCAGAAATAAGGCCACAGTGGTTTAAAAAAGCCAATAATAGTATTATGTCCTGAAGAGCATATGTTTGTATCTAAAAGTGTAATTATGACACATGTATCTATGTATACATATGCATAACAAACTGATAAGAGAGGAAGTTGCGATTAAGGAAAAGAGAGCATAGACAACTGTAGAAGACTGATAACAAAACCAAAGTGGCTGTTTCACTCACTGGGCACTTAACTGCATGTTTTCACTTTATCCCTAGCACTGAGATTCTGAACAGGCTTAGGAAAGATGGGCACAAAGTTTCTGAGACTGGGATCTGTTCAGAAGCAGAGGTCTAAGTGCTTAGATTTATGGTCAAAGATGGAAATGCCAGATAAGTTTATGTGACTCTGTGGTTAGACAGTCATTAAATGAACACAGAGAGAAGGAAATCTCTGTTCTGTGTTTGGATAGTTCAATTCCATGCAAATCTTTCTTCAGGAACTTCAAGCCTTAGGGCTCTCTGGATGGTGAATGGTGATTTTTGATAGGAGTTGGGGCAGTGGAGAAGTTCCAGAAAGCTTTAAGACAATGTTGTGTCAATTTCTGAAAAGGAGACAGAAGTCTCTACTGAAAAAGAAATATAGTATAATATCATATCATATCATATCATATCATGTAATGTAATATAATGTAATATAATGTAATATAATATAATTAAAGTTAATATACATAAGTTTATGGACAAAAAATACTCCAACAGATTGCAAGAGTGGCTGATGAATACAATTATGTTGATATAGTATGCTTAAGTTTCTGTAAGGTATTTGTCTTATTACAACACAGACTTTTTGCTGAGACTAGAACAATACGGAACCTGTATGACATCCATTTACTCCATTAAAAACTTGTTAATGAGAATCTGGCAAAGTGTGCAATATTATTGTAAACAGGAGTTATCACCAAGGCAAGTTTGGGAAATGGTTCCATACTACTTACAATTTTCAACAGTGACTTGTTAAAACGGGAACATTGATTAAACTCCAAGCTTTTGATGGAAAGGGAGCAAGAAGAGGTCTTTCCACCAAACCTTTCTTCCTTTCCTTGTGTGATTTGTTCTACCGTTTTCATTGGTATTCACTATTACTTTTCCACAGGCTATAAACAAAAAGAACCTCTAGTCTGCCCACGTGCCACAGGCCTGTAGCACTTCCTTTAATTAATTCCTGTCCAAGAAGTTTAGTGAGAGCCAACCTAGTCTCTCGCCTAAAGGCCAGCTGCTACTCTTGCTAAATAGTCAATTCTGCAGCGCCTTGGAGGTGATCTGGCAAGGCAGGGAGAGAAGAAAACTTTCCTCCAGACTGGTGCACAGCTGAAGATCCCAGACTAGTGCTTGTGACGGGATCTGTGCAGAGATACGCCTTTGACCTCTTCAGTTGCTCTCCATGCTCCTTGGGCAGGCAGCTGTAATCCTCACCCATCCCCTTCAACTTGCTCCTGTGGTGGAGCCATACCAACCACATCTTCTGTACTGAGGTACAGAAATAATGTCACAAGAGATTGTCCAGGCATTTGGAGAGCTAGTATTGACAGTGGTTCAAGTTACCTGTAAAGACTGACAAAGAAGGGGAAATATCAATGGGACTGATTCTTTTCTACCCTGCTTGTTGTTATTCTTTACACTTGTGCTGAATTATAGTATTTTTTCATTGTTCTGAGCTAATTTTTTTATCTACTTTTCATTTTTGGGGGGGACAGTAACTGATGGTCTGAATCAGATCAACCTTACCTTTGTGAAGGAACTGGAATTTCAGTGTATATACTGTTGTTCCTATTGTAAAAGGACTAATAGCTCATTGCTTCCATTATTCTTCCTGCAACTAAGTGCTTGTCATTAATCGTGGATGGCGTTTGACAGCATTTATCAATCCAGCATACGTATGTGTGGTTAGAGGATGCAAGAATGCACCTGATAAAGTAGCTGTATCCCAAGAAATGGTATTTCTAACAAGAAAAATCCCTGTACAGAGACTGAGGTGATGATCAATCCAGGTTCTGTCACACTTGAATTGTGGATTTCAGTGATCACATGTCCATGGACAAAAGTTTCTTTATTAATGTAAATGTTACTTTTTGCTTGCTTTTAATACAGTAGCAGCTCAGAAGCATGGGAAAGTTTGATTTTAGTTTGGTTCATTTTTTATTTCCACCTTTTCTGGCAGAGCAGAGAACTTTTTGTACTCACGTATGGGGCTTTGGTAGCCCAGCTGTGCAAGGACTATGAAAAAGATGAAGATGTCAACACCTGTTTAGATAGAATGTAAGTACTGCTTTAAATGTTCAGCTTTATTGATAATGCTATTTGTCCATCTATATGTTACCTTTCAGCTTTATGTCTGTTATATTACAAGTTCCAGCACTCTGTCTAGGATTACAGAGGTCACAGGGATAAGGTTCAATATTCTATCACCAGAAATAACACTAATTTGTGAATTAAGGTCAACAACTAGCTTTTGAATTCTCAGAAGAAAAGTGCCAGGATTGTTTTGATAGCCTACACTTATTCCTTTTTGATCCTTTGTTATACTAATTAATAATATCAACTTCTAAATTTAATCTACTATATCCATGTATTCAGTTTCAACTTCCATATTAACTCTCCTCTTCTATTCCTTCGTACCCATGTTATTTGAAACTAGACAAGCTTTTTGTTTCTCACAAGTATTTTCTAGTTCACATGCATTTCTGTGTTCACTGTTGATGTGGCCTTCTCATGGCTTCCCCTCATCTAGCTACACCGTGGTTTTGTGACTCGGACAGCTAAGAAGGAGTCACAATTCCAGGTTGCAGGGATTTGGCTTAGGCGACTCAGTCAACAGGCAGCTTCCTTTTGTAGTCAGTCACCTTCCCCGAGGGTGTAATTCAGGTATCTGACTTGGGCGCTCTGAATTGTCCCCTGTGGGGTGGCTCTCTTCTCCCCTCCCTGGGTTAAGGGCAGACGGGCCTCTCACCTTTAAAAGACGATCCAGCAATGAGTGAGATAGCACAAATGGTCAATGAGGAACTGATTTTTACATAGATAACCTCTTTGGAATATGAAGATCCTATGTTTATAGGATCTTGTCATCCTGACTGAGATTACTAGGCATTCTCATGGTAAAAATAATGATATCACATGGTTAACAAGAAGATATACTAAGATCTTCGGCAGAAGGGTAAGGCTTGTGTTTTCAGGCAAAATGGACATGCAAAATGGACTTACAACAATCAGTGGACAGAATACCTGACCACTTTACTATTAATCTGAAAGTTTGCAAACAAGCCATAGTCCCATAGCTATCGATGGAAGTGAGTAAAAAAAATCATTGCTTGGAAAAAAGAAAAGTAATTTACTCACAAACTAACAAGGGACAACATCCCTCACATATTTATTTTATATTAATGTCTCATTCAGCTCTGATGAAAAGCCTACATTTCAAAAATACACAGGCTTCTTTATGATGCTATGGTAGAAATTACTAAAGGGTAGTCTTGGAAGATGTGGAGACATATTTTGCTCCTTGTGTTTTTATTATTATAGCTGTTTCTATAAAACCTTTTTGGTTTTGTCTTGATAAAGACTTGATAAAATAATGACAGGTTTCATTAAAGCAATATGGCCATCTTTACTTCTGTGACAATGAAAATAACCCAGCTTGAGGAAGAAACCTTATAGATTAGCAGACCTGTGACAGTTGGGGACAATACTCTTAGCTCTCTCTCTGTATATGTACATATATGATCTGTAGTGAGAAGGGTGTTTTTCACTGTACAGTTGCCAAATAGCTGCTTGTCCATTTATTATTCATTTGACTTTTGGAAATCTAAGACATGAAAGATGAAAAGGATCTAAGTAGTCTTGTACGTCACCAATACATACCTTGTTAACTGCTGATGACCTATTTACCAACATTATTGGTATTGACACTTAGGCAATAAATAAATATTTCATTGTTTTCTGATGCATGACATATTGCAATTTTAAACTTCACACTGCCCAAACCACTTTTTGGTCTCGTCATCTCATTAGCCATCAGATCACTTTTTGGCCTCTTGTCAAAGACGTGGCACAAAATCAGTGAGAAATGCCATCAAGTTCATGCTGCTTCACTGAGGGTGTAGGGCTTCTGACAGACAGGCAGAGACTTCCAACATCCACATAAATGGAAAGGAAAATTTCCCTAAAAGCAGTTCTGAGTTGAGTTCACATTCTTTCATAACATCTGTGTCAATTTCTTTCCCTTTTTCAAAAAATGCTTGGAGACATAGTTGTTTTGCATATTATGTAGTTACTGACCTTTGTTAATGTGTGAGAGCTAGGAATGAATATTTGTTTCATAAAAAATTCCATTAACTTCCATCCTTTTTTATTTAATTTCTCTGAAATAGTAGTGTTTTAAATACAAAGTGAAGATGGTGGTGTACTGAAACTGTATATTAACTAGCAACTTTTGGATTCATTCTGCAACTAGTAGATGAAGGGAGAGAACATGCTAGAAAAAAGACGAAGAGGGAATTGTGGAGGCAGAGCGAAAAATGAGGTGAAGAGATAAGAGGATAAAGTGAAAGAGATCAGGTGTGAGTCCATTTCCTATGGGTTTTCCTGGCACCTGAACTCTGCAACGAGGTGCCCAGGATTTGCTGAACTCCATACCAGCCCAGAGGTGAATGCTGTGACCTGAAGGGGCAGTTGCTTTGTTCTCTCTGACAGAGACGGCATGAGATGAACTCTGGGATCACAGAGGAATGGAGAAAATTTTGTGCTATGTTATCCTATTCTATTTTTAGTGACAAAGCAGTATTAATCGGGTGTATTACTTGTCTATTATTTATATATTATACTCATCTATCTAACATCTAATATTTATTCATATAAGTAAATACAAATATATGCATAGACAATGTGTATGTAAACAACATTCATATCATCCTTGACAGGAGTATCGTGCTTACAGGACTATGATTCCTTAGATGGCTACATGAACAGCAATCCCACTGTGCTGCAAAATGTGGTAGAAAGAAGAATCTAGACCAGCAAAATCTGTTGCCCTCAAAGCCATTCATTTACAAACACGCAGCTCTTTTGCTGAGGAAGCACGATACACATTAGGGAGATGGTAGGTGGAAAGAAGTTCCCCATTTTGAATATTAACTTTCTTTGTTTCCTCCTTAGGGGATATGACATTGGCATAAGGCTGATTGATGATTTTTTAGCTCGTTCAGCTGTGAAAAAGTGCCGCAGTTATTCTGAAACTGCAGACATGATTGCACAGGTAAATAAGATTTACATTCTCTAGAGCTTCATCAGCTTCAATGGTCTTAGTTTTTGCCTCCTCCTCTATCAGTTTGCTCCAGAACAGTTACCTACATTTTCTGCTATGTTATGATTGTCTTATGAAGACACACTCATCTCCACAATCACACCCATGCTTCCATTGGGTGAAATACAGCCTTTTCCTTATCTATAACTTCGTATCAACTAGTAGCTCACAGAGGTTGGCCTTGAGAGGAGACATTAGTTTCTACCTCTGTAGCATAGTGCTATGTCAGGCTGCAAAAAACCCAACATTCAACAGGGCACAAAAAATTTGATGTTTAGTCAGATAGGAATTTTGTGGATGGTCTTGATAAACCCACAGTGGTAAGTTTACCACAGTGTTGTCAGAACCACAGAATTGGTTCACATGGGTGTTAGTTTTATATCTGAGTTGGGATACCACCTGTGAGAGGCTGCCAACCCCTGACCTAAACTGACCGTAAAGTCAGTTGCTAAGCTGAAATTAAAATTCTTCTATTCCTAGTAGCCTATGAGGCATTTTGCCATTAGAAGTTCCCTTTTGTTTGCTGCAGCTTAGGCTGATTTCTTCTACTCTTGCCAGAGAATGCAGCAAACAACAAAAACAACAAAAAATGATACAGTTTTAACAAACTTCATATGTTCCCTCACTTTTTTTCTTTTTCTAGGAGCATAAGCCTTAACCATCTCATACAGATCTTAAACTTCGATATTCTTACTCCTGCCATCTGAATCTCCTCAGCTTCTCCATAATTATCTTAGATGTTTTTCAACCTTAAAATGGTAATATTAGGAATAAGCTGGAGGATTTTCTGCAAAAGGAAGACTCAGTGGTAGCAGAGAAGAACTGTAAGAAAGGAAAATGAGAGGAACATTTTCCTCACTACCCACAAATCTGATAATAGAATCAAAAAGAAAATCAGAGTAGGTACTTTCACCTTCTTTGATGGAAATCTCCCTTTTATTGAATAGTCTTTCACACTACTGTCAGACAATAAAGGTCTAGGAGGAAATTTAGTGGCAATACATGGGTTTCTAAAGATGTATTTTTGCCCCCATGCAAGTCAGATTTCCTGGGGAAGCTCAAAGAGAAATCCATAGGACATCCAGCCCCTTTAGACTGCTGAGTCACTGTAGAGGTGGTGGTTCACAGATACTGAGTTAGCTCACACTAATACCTACTCAGGTCATGGTGAATGATCCCTTTTATCCTTTATGATTTTCAGCTATGAAGTGTTGCCAGTGAAGATATGCCTGGCCTTTCCCAATAGCAAAAATTAACCACACTTTATAACAAAGAACTGTTTGCTAGGTAGTCGTTTGTTTTAAGAAGAGAGATCCTCAGTTAATTGAACTGATATTCATTTCCATTGGCTCATTTTAGGAGACAAAAATATGCCTGGCATACTTTTTGATTGCTTGAGAGTTACCAGCAGCATCAGCTAAATGTGAGCATTATGTTTAACTGCTGACTGCAGAACTGGGAAACAGCAGGCTTTTGAGACAGTGAACTAAGGCACCAGTATATGCTGGTTATACAGGAGTATCTTAGTTCAAAGTGTACGTAGATGTTATCAGGTGATGTGTGATCCTCCTCACATTAACCGTGTCAGAAATACCTACATTACATCTGACTGAAATGGAGGGACAGAAGTTATCATTCCAAAAGCTTGTCACAGAGTAACTGATGGCTGTCACAGAAATAGAGAAAGGACCTCTTTGCATTTGCTGTTGTTGGTAGGGCTGTAAAGTGCACATATGCACAGCACACAGATACACAATGATCTGCTGAAGTTTAAAGCAGAAGTTAGTGACATTACTAAAAGCCAGACAGATCCCATTAGCTCATAAAAGAGTGGAAACTAAATTTCTGCCTGAAGTAAGGTGTATTTTGCAGTCTCAAATTGGTATGATGTATAACAAAGCTCCTCCTTTGGAGGAGCTGAGCTGGGGTAGTGGATCCACTGGAAATAGTGAGGGCAGCTGAATGAAAACCATGAGACAAGCAGCATATCAATCACTGTATTAAAATATAATGTCTCATTAAAAGAATTGTACCAGGCTGCAAAATCATGGTTTTGTTCACTTTTATGTTCTTCTTCAGGTGGTATTTGTTCTTTATTTTCTCTGGATTTTCACGTACATGCCAGATATCTGGTTTTCTGGGTCTTATTCCTCATGGTTCCCTTATTTACAAATGCTTCAGTACAGTTGAACCATCATTCTTAATTACAGAGGATTCAACAACAAAATACAGTGAGAAATTAACTATCAAAGTGAGGAAAAAGACATGATTTCTCTGCAAGTTGTGCTTCAAAAGAGACTTACTGAGAGAAATAAAATTACTTGGAAAGATTGGAACAAACTCTAAAGCACACAGTCTCCTGAAAAGACTATTTTTAGCAAACTAAAAGAGGAGTTCTGTAGTAGGAGTATAACCTTTCTGAGGCAAAATGTGATATGGAAAGCATTTTCACATTCCTTTGGCAAAACACTTTTTAAATAGTCTTCAAGCACATTTGTCTGAGGCACGTACCAACAAAACGTATGTAAAATGACCCAGTAAGTAACTGCAAATATGCTGTTAAAGTTACTGGTTCAGAATTACACAGCTGTTTATATGATATCTTTAACTCTTCAGCGGTAGTGTTCTCAGCTAGGAGAAAGTGCTTAAATACTTAACTGCACTAACTCTTCTGAGGTAGAAATCTGTTTGAGGATCAGTGTGTAGTAAAACCAGTTAAAAGTTAAAGTAATTAAGGCAGTTAAGCAGTTAAGTAGTTAGAGCCAAATGTCCTGTAAACATAGCTGTTATCCTTCAGTGCCTTTGAAAGCAAAAGAGAAGTCTGTAAGATCAGGCTGTTCCCTGTGGAAATGGAAAGAGATGAAGCAAAGGAAAAAGCATTAAATGAGGAGTACAAAGCCAGCTTGAATTATTAAGAAATAAATATCTGAGGAAAGGTGCACCTAAGGCAGTGACTGAGGGCTTAAAACTTCAACCACTGGTTCAGACTGCAAAGCCTGGGATTTACTGCTAGCTTATAGTGGACTGGAGAAGGGCCAACAAGTTTTGACAATGAGCCAGAGTGAGTCCTTCTACACTGAGTTCCCATGGTGCTCACTGACTTCTTGTGTTGGTGCTGTGATTTTGCGTGGTTACAGTTGGGATTGAATAAAAAAAGGTAAAACAGGCCACATAAAAGTAGGCTTTCTCCTCACTGGCAAACTGGGATAAGAAAATGGAAACCACTTGAGGAATGGTATTAAGAACAAAGCTCAGCTGAAGAAGTAATGCCCAAGACTGGATTCAGAATTTGCATCTGAATATCACTGAGGATTACTTTTGAAATGAGGGTGACAATTTTGCTCTATAATCCTACAAAATCAAAATTTTACTTCAATTCCTCCTCACAAGACCTTGACCTGGTCATTGATCTGGTTGAGAGAGATGCAAAAAATAAACAGCGTCTGGTTTTAGATCCAATCCTAGAACAATGTTACCTTCTATAGCACAGTGTCACCATGCCCCTGGAGCTGTCTGTGCATGCTACAGGTGGGAGCAGCTGGGCCATGCCCTCTGGTCCACAGTGAGCTAGTGCTGGCTCACAGGCTCCATAGCCATGTTAATACAGGGCTGTGCCTAAGGATGTATCCCTTGCTGAAAAGCAGTGGCTGGAGAGAGGGGCTTTATTGTGGAAGCTCAGTACCCTGTGAATGCAGCAAATGTGCGTCTTTGCCGCTGTGGGTAGAGGCCCTTGGGGACCATCAGGGCTGGGGTAATCCAACCGTGTCACCCCCAAGCCCAGAGCTGTAGGACAAGAGGTGTGATTCCCCTTCCCATGGGATGTCCTGCCACACAAGGTCCCTATATATTGACATATGGCCAGTTTGAAAGTCTGACAGAAGCTGGCAGAATTTACGAAGCTGGTAAATGTTGCTTTTCAGACCTCAATAGTGAGAGGGAAATGCATACAGCAAGTTGCTGTGCTAAGTTGTAGACAGTAAACTGAAAAACGAAGTGCTGCACTGTAAAGAGTAAAAGAAAAGTTTGTGAGTACATGGAATCAGCAACAGATGGCAAGATGCTTAAAGCATCTTGCTCTTCCCAAACACTGACTGTGGAAAAGTACTAAGAATGAAAAGTATGCTAGCAAAAATGTTATTTTGGCTGCCTTTCCCCTTCTAAGGAGATTAATTCTGGTCTTGTTATTATGTCATCTGAAATTATGGTTTCATTTTTTTAACAGTCTGTATGTACTTTGTAGGTATGTAATGTACTTTGCAACATTACTTACACATACAATGTTCTGTAGTGAAAAGACCGCAGTAGTATATAAAGGGGGTGATAAGTTAGTGGCCTCCTAAATATTTCAGTAATTCTAGACTGTATTTGAGCACCATCAAAATGTTGATGAATTTTATTCTTACTGCTTGAGAGAGATGGGATGCTAGTTGAGACTTTGAAAAAGGGCAGTGGTACATTTTTAATGCTGACTGCATAGGTTTCTTGTTTGACATTAAGCAATATATAATCCCATAGAGTTGCAAGTAACGTTTTCAAAAGAGAGATTTTGCTTTATATGGGTGTCATTTTGATGGCGAGCCTATGTACATGTCTAAATAGATATTCTTCTTTCTTCCATTTCACATAGATAGAAATGAGACAGATTTATGGATGCAACTTTCAAAACTGCTCCTTCATTTTACCTCCCCATCTTTTGGAGTCACAAAGAAGGATTGAAAAGACCTTTGGTTTACCCTCTGAGAAGTTGTGTAAGGTAGTTTGAAAGGAATTTCTGTCCAGTCATAGCCTGGTTTTAAAAAAAAAAAGGTTAATATCTATGCATTGAATTACTTATCTATGTACTTAAATTATTTTTTCTTCTGAGACTTTTTTATAATTTTCACTTTATAGCTTCACAATTTTGCCTTAATTTGGTGCTCCATTGCAAACCAGCTACTGGTTTTGCATAGTTT